GATCTCAGCCTTAGCCTACCCAGCTGAGAATGATCTTAAACCTCTAAATCCTCCTGCCTCCAGTTCTGAGTTCTGGGATTGCCTCCTTCTTGTTTCTTAGTGGCATTTGATTGAAATTTTTTTTTTTCCATTTTTTCACTCTAAGGTAGTGCTTGTTCTTGAAGGTGAGATGAGTTTCTTGAAGACAACAAAAGATGTATTTTGTTTGGTAATCCATTCCACTAGCCTATATCTTTTGACTGGGGATCTGAGGCCGTTGTTATTTGGAGTTATTATTGAAAGATGTGCCTTGGTTATTGTTTTTAATTTGTTTGTGTTCTTGGTCCTCTTCTGTGTTTCCATAATTATAACTCCTTTCGTTTCCTTTCTGTAACCTCTTGGGTAAAATCATTCCTATTTTTGATCTTTTGTATTGTTTCGAATTTTCTCTGTATGATTGATTTGGTGGACATGCATTCTTTCAGTGTATTCATGTCAGACAAAATTTTCCATTCTCCTTTAACTATGAATATGTGGATCACTTCATGAATATACATGTCATCCTTGTGCAGGGACCACGCTAATCTTCTCTGTGTTATTCAAATTTTAGTATATGTGCTACTGAAGTGAGCGCCCATCCCCATGATTGTTTTGATGGTAAATTTATTCATATTGTCAGGCATTCATGTAAGACAATAAAATTAAGTATTTTAATCATAAGTGCCATGGATAGACTGTTGCCAAATTTTTCATATATAAGAACAAATAATCAAAATATATTTGCCCATGCTTGCTACATTAGAAAAATACAGATAATAGACATGTTTCCTCTCAGGCATAAACTCCATATGGAGAGTTTAGAATTAGTAGATATCAAGAATAATAATGGTTCAGTTATTTCTTTAAAGTGACTGCTTTAGTACTTCTTTTCAATGCTTTTTTTCTCTAGTAAAGCTGAGGATAGCTAATGGGAAATAAACATCATATTTTTTATTTGATTACATACTTCCCCATCTCTGTTTCTGTCTCTCATCTCTGTCTCTGTCTCTGTCTCCTTGTATTTCTCTCTCTCTGTGCAAAAATAATACATGATATTTTAACACCCTTCATGTTTCATTGTTATACAACATGTTTTTATATTAAGGGTGGCATTGAAAGATAACTAACATCTAAGGGATTTTTGTTTTGGGCAATGGACAGTTACTATTCTATGTCATTTCCCGGACATTTTGAATTTGTAGCCTAATGTCCAGGAAGAGTTTCTGAAATGACATTAGATATATACTAAGTGAGAGACCTCAGAAGTAATTCATATTGAGTGTCATGAAATTA